TACAATCGTGAAATGGTCAATGCTGGTGGTTTTTTTTCTTTTTGTTTTTAAAGCAGAAAAGAAAATCTGCCATTCTGCAATTGCTTTAAGAGTGCTTTTTGTCAGCTTTAAAAAAATAAAAATAAAAAGACAGACACACATTTTCAAGAGACATGTTTTATGAGAGGCCAGTGGGCATGGTAAGTAATTTCAGCCATAACCACAAAGCATTTTTCCCCTGAAGAACGCTATTTTTCATATGGGTTCTGGCCTGTGGGAAATTTAAGGGAACTATTATATATCTATAAGGTAAGATTCTGAAGACAAAAAACTCGCTGCAAGGTCTGCTCATAAATTTCATTCTCAACTATCTTAATAGCACTGATTTAGCAAAGTTTATCTTAACCTGAAAGAAAGCTAAGCCCCTGTAAAGAGTTCCCTATTGATCTATCTATCAGCTGAGAATCTGCAAAGCTTAAGGTAAGCTCTCAAAAGATGAGTTTCCTAGGTAAAGACAAAAAAAGGGGAGAAAAAAGAAAAGAAAAATCACAACAGTGCTCAGATCCTTTTTAAAAATTTCCATATCAAAGGTATTTCTTTCGCAATACAGCTCACTGCCTATTCAAACTGACAAAATACTGTAAAGGCAAAGGGAGAGGTTCACACTTCAAATAGAGAAGGCAAGTTTCCTCCATGAAGGTCCAAGACACAGTTTTTTACCAAAGAAAACTCTAGTATGGTCTCTAGTACGGGGACAGAACCTTAAAAATCAGGGAGTGCAAACTGTGAGTGGAGTTTTGGAAGCATGTAAGGGATTCACTTCCTTGCCTGGGCTTTCTTGAGAGGGACGGTGTAGGTTAGATATTGTCCAAATGGTTCCCGGTGGATTTGCAGCTCCAGTGTAAAGTGCTGCAGTTTTATTTTATTTTAAATATTTTACCCCAGCGTTCTTCTTTTAAAAAGGATACAAGGTGGCTGACATCATTAAAAATGCAATATTAAAAGCTGACAACAATAAATTATTCAAATATATTAAAAAGATTTAAATAAAAATATTTAAAATCTTAGGTAAAACATTACTAAAACACTTCTCAAAGCAATCAATCAATCAGTCAATCAATCAGTCAATCAAACCATCCATCCATACATACATACTATACCATTTTATGCCTTACCTTTCTTCCCAAGAGAGTCCAAAATGGCCTACAGTATTAAAAACTGACTATACTTAAAAGCTAAAAAAAGGGGTGGGGGTTAAATACAATATTTTAGAAAATTACAAACATTTTAAAAAACACGTTAAAATATAACATTTTTACATTTAAAAGCCGCCTTCCTAGGCAGAAAGTTATAGGGGCGGGGGGAACTGCTTGGAAAGAAAGGTAGATGTGGTAGGAACATGAAGAAAACCTGTTGAATTCCTACAAAAACCCCTTCAGAACTGAGTCAGCCCACCTCAGTCGAAGGGTCATTTTGACCATTACATTTTGTAATCTTTTCTTTTTCTCCATTGCTCCTATCTTGATGTTTAGATTTGTTATCCTTTTATTTTATATTTCTTTATGTAGCTTTAAGATTGGGTGGAATCTGGCTGTTTTCTTCATGTTTACGTGCTGGAAACCGGTCCTCATAGTGGCAAGGCCATTAGAAGGAAGGAAGGAAGGAATCTGTCTGTCTGTCTCAGCAAGCAACTTTCCATGAGATTTCTTGTTTGCAGGTGTGAGAGCAAGCCAAGAAGTTTTTCTCTTTTTTGCAGAGAAAGTCATTCTCACCAATTCCAGAACTCTCACTGATAGCACCAGGGGAAAAAAAAAAGTCTTGCGGTCTAGCTGATGAAGGGAGAATTCTTGCTGTTCCTTGTCATCACATGCCAGGATGCGACAAGTAGCAATCACAACTCTCAGGCCCACCTGTGACAGCACGTAGACAGGCAGGCACAGAGAAGGTTTGTGATTGCACCACCCTCCTGGACGTCTGTCTCCTTTGAAATTAGACCATTGCAGCCCTTAAGGTCCCATCCTTACAGGTTTTTAAGTAGGCATAAAAAGGTATCGCTTGGTTGCTGTCTTATCTCAATTTGCAAGGTTTTAATTAGGCAGCTATTACTATGGTACTTATTTGTTTGGTGGTCTCTGGTTTTATTGGCCTAAATGCTATTCTAACATTATTGCTGGCTGCCTTTGTTTAATGTTAATGTGATTGGGTGTTTTGAGTGTTAATGATAATGTTTTTTGTGTTATTATAAATTTTTTTAAAGACCCTGTTGTAAGCCACCGTGCCCCAAAGGTTTACTAAACAGCCTAATTAAATAACTAAATGCATACTAGCAGGACCCCTCATTACAGGATCCCCCAATAAAGAATTATGACAGGCTGCCAACAGCAGCTTAATCTTCTGAAGCACTGCAGATTCTGCAGCTGCTATGTGCTTTTCTGCCATCAATCCCCTCCCTTTATTTCAGCACTAAAAAACAAAAGAGTAAAACTGAATGCACTTTGGATTTCCTTGCTCAAAATCCACTATCAAAAAATTCCTATAAAATGATGGCCAAAATACTTTTCTGTAAGTTACACTGCACAAGGCGGGTGATATCATGAGCTGTGATTTTTCAGAAATAATAATTAAAAAATCCTGATCCACCCACCCACAATATCAAAAGGCTCCTATGGGAACATTTTCATCATGGAGAAGCCATGGAGGGGGCATTTCTTTAAATTCCATCCCATACCTTCGGAGTGATGATTTTATTGGTACCTGTGATATTCAGAAATTAATTACTTAGTTATGTATTTATTTTAAAATTGTTAGCCCACTCTATATTACAGGATCTCGGGGTGGGTTACAAAGCTGCGTAGAACAAGTTTAAAACATAAGATATTTGAAACAACTTTAAATCAAACTGCATGACATTCAAACATTAAAACCATTGCATTAAACCAGGGCATGATCCTCAACCTCTCAAAGGCTTTAATAAATGTATCTCGACTTGGCACTGAAATAATGCCAGTATTGGTACCAATTGAACCTATGGAGGGTATTCCTCAGTTGAGGTTCTTCTTGCCCCCATCATGTGCCCCTTAACAGTTTTCCCCAATGAAAGAGATCTCACAGAATCATCAGGACCTTTGGAAGGATTTGGATTGCTTGTATATTTCTGAAAAACTGCCATGGCAGGTGATGTTATTAGCTTTATGTAGTGTAGCTATGCAAACAGGATTTCAGCTACTATGAGAACAGAAAAGGCAAGTTAGTAACCATGTATATGTGTACATAAAGGGAAAGTTGAGTAATTTGCTTTTAAAACCAGGAATCTAAACATGCGAATATGCAGAAAAATATATTTGGGGAAAGCAGGGTGGGAGAGAAAACAAAGGGTGCAATCAGACTGCTGCCTGATCTCTCTCTCTCTCTCTCTCTCTCTCTCTCTCTCTCTCTCTCTCTCACACACACACACACACACACACACACACACACACACACACACACACACACACACACACAAGTTGTTTCAATGGGAATTATTTTCCTTGAAGTAAACACTCCATCTGCCAAGAAATCACTCCAGCTTGGCCTCCCAAAACAGAAACCGTACAGCTGAACTAGTGGATTCCCAGTGTGGTGTAGTGGATAGAGTGATGGACTGGGACTCTGGAGAACAGAGTTCAAATTCCCATTTGGCCATGAAAACTCACTCCTTAAATATCTCACTTCCATTGGGAATCCTCTCAGGGTTGTTGTAAGTCAGTTCTGACTTGATGGCACATGGCTTGCACACACAGTTGAAGCAACAAAGGTCTAGTTCGGATGTGGATTGGAGTCAAGCTGAAGCACATTTCTTTGTGTGTCATGTGATGGCGTGGAAACAGATCACACCAGACTGCTCCGCAAGCAGTGCAAACTGCAATCTCTTTCCCTGTGTCATTAAACCCAAAGGAAGGCAATATTCGAAAACAAAACAAACATAAAAAGCCTCACTGATCCAATTACATGTTACATGCTTGAGAAAATCTGCACAGAGAATGTGCAAAATCTGAGAAAGAAATGAAGATGTCAGAGTATGCATATTTGTGATATTTAAGTAATTCACGAAGACAAAGGGACGTGTGCACCAGAACATTACTTCATTCTTATGCCAGAGTACAAACTCAGGGGCCCAATCTGGACTGGGACATTTGCATGCAGTTAGGGCAGGCTTAAATCTTGCACATTTCCCCATTAATTCACTGGAATTAGGCTGGAAAGAAAATGTGCAAGTGATTGAACGGAAATGAGGTTTGTGAAATATTCTCTGGTAATATATAGACAAAATACAGTTTCTTCTGGTAAATGTATGTTCTGTACCAAACCAAACTCCATTGTTATTTCATGTTAGTGGGTGAAGAAAGTATTGAATTAAGAGAGTAATGCAAGGTGTGATTCCTAAGGATGTTGCTTTCTTCAATAATATTCAGGGAATATTAAACAGTAAAAATTGCTCCTTCTGAATATATAAGATATATAAGACTGGATTCTACTTCAGATATTTCATGCTTTGACAAAAAGGTCTGAGGGGAAAACATGGCATTCCTAGACCAGTGATTCTGAACCTTGAGTAACCCAGATGTTCTTGGACTGCAACTCCCAAAAACCCTGGGCAGCACAGATAGTGGTGAAGGCTTCTGGAAGTTGCAGTCCAAGAACACCTGGTTGGAAGCCACTGTCCGACACTCTTGTCTCAGCTGTTATCTCCCCAAACAATATTCAGTGTATTAATATGAGCTTTGAACAACCAATCTACTCATGTGTCCTCCCATTGTTTTGCTCTATCTGCTTATGCATGAGCACCAATAAATGAGTTCATCTGCTTGAATTTCTCATTCACTCTTGTATAAAATGTTGCAAATCCTAAAACACCATTTTACATACTGGTTTACTGGATAAAAATAATAAATAATAATAACAAAACCAATAGCAGCAACAACAACAATAAGATCTCAAGATCTCTCTTTCTCTTTCTTTCTCTCTTTCTCTCTCTCTCTCAGGATTTGATACCTACTTTACTTCCCGCACACTGGAGAACAACAGAAGAAATGTGTGGTTTGCAGAGTACTGGGAAGAAAACTTCAATTGCAAGTTAACGATTAGTGGGTCAAAAAAGGAAGACACAGATCGTAAATGCACTGGTAATTTCATTCTTTTTGTCCTTCTCTTGATGCATTACGTGGCCTGCATTGAAATGTCTCTGTGTAGCTGCTGCAGGGAAAGCTGGTTGGAGACAGATTGAAACAGAGAGAAAGAGAGAAAAAAGATTGAATGTTCATAGGTTTGGGGTGCGGTTGGGGAGAATAGAAAGCAGAAGCCATGCAGGGAAAGAAGGGAGAAATAGATTAAGTGCTATGCACTCTTTCCATTCCTGCCTGTTGATCCAGCAGTAAGTTGACATTTTCAAATGATTTTGTGGTCAAGAGAAAGAGGTGGTTATCTCATTTTTATTTAATATAGTTATTTTCTACAAGATGAGTATATTTATAAAGAGGCATTGGGGAGGGGAAGGCTGTACTTTCTGCACAACTGTAATGAAACCAAACTGAGGACTACTTTAAGAACTGATTTTATAGAAAGAACAAAGACAAAAGCAAACACAAAAGTATTGTGACACCCCTTGAGACCAACACATTTATGTCAATGTGAGCTTGGTGGCTGTAATCCAGTTCTTCAGACACTTCAGATGCACCACATATGTCTCAAAGGTACCACATCTCAAAAATGTCTTCAAGATAACAGAGTACTTTTGTGTTTGTTTTGTTTCTGTTCCTCTGCTGAAAAGGACTAACATCATCACCAGCTATCTAAGAACTTATACAGTCCACCTTATTTTCAGAGCTGCAGAATACATGAATTATAGGAGTACAGGAGTGCACTTTGCTATTATGTGACTAGTTAATGCAGTCTGTCATTAAGCCATTACTGGTGGGTTGGGGGGGGTGTTTCACACAAAGGAAACTATAACTTTCAAACTGGTTCTTAAATTGAGATCATGTTTGGCAGACTGATAGTAGAGAGTTTGGGTATGCTCTGTGCCAAAGTTGGAGGAGTTTGGATCCAGAGAAAGAGAATTTGTTGTTGTTTAGTTGTTAAGTCGTGTCTGACTCTTCGTGACCCCATGGACCAGAGCACGCCAGGCCCTCCTGTTGGGTCAAATTCATGTTGGTAGCTTCGGTGACACTGTCCAACCATCTCATCCTCAGTCATCCCCTTGCCTTCACACTTTCCCAACATCAGGATCTTTTCCAGGGAGTCTTCTCTTCTCATGAGATGGCCAAAGTATTGGAGCCTCAGTTTCAGGATCTGTCCTTCCAGTGAGCACTCAGGGTTGATTTCCTTCAAAATGGATAAGTTTGTTCTCCTTGCAGTCCAGGGGACTCTCAAGAGTCTCCTCCAGCACCACAATTCAAAATCATCAATTCTTTGGCGGTCAGCCTTCTTTATGGTCCAGCTCTTACTTCCATACATTGCTATTGAAAAAACTATAGCTTTGACTTTGCGGACCTTTGTGATGTATCTGCTTTTTAAGGTGCTATTATCTTTAAAAAGAGAAAAAAAGAGAAAGAGAATAGTAGCCATTAAAAGAAAGGAAGAGTGAGGGGGATCACATGGAAAGAAAGAGAGGTGGGAGAGAGCCAGAGAGCAAGAGGAGCCCCAGGAAGAGAGGAAAAACACAGAGAGAAAGAGACACAGTGATGACCAGTGGAACACTCCCATAAGTATGATATAGAAAACTCGCAAGTGGTACTTTTCTGAGAAGCAGAAGTTTCTGAAATGTCTTTGAGAGCAGCCTGAAGCCAAGGACTTCATAATATAAGATGTTATCAGGTTGTATCTAACACAGATCTCTGTTGTATTTGGTATAAGCATAGCTGAGCACAGCTAAACCTGGAAAAAAAACACCTGATATTCTTACAGTGCATCTCCTGTGTTTAGTAGGGCATGCTTCTGGAAAAGGTTATATAATGCAAATACTTTTCTTAAGTGAACTGTACCATTCTTGAGAGAAGATCCTTTGCAGTTTGTAGCAGCTTTGCCCTTAATGTCCTCATGACTTTCTTATGGGTCTGTGAAATACTTGAGTCAAAAATTGCGTTTCTATGCAGCTCAAAAGGGAGTTCTACTATAGATTCAGAAGTCAATGAAGTGAATTACCTTGTAAAACATAAAGTAAAGTCCATTCAGATGAGCTTAACATTTCCTTCAGCATGTCAAAATGCTAGTCTTATACCCTGATAAGCAGAAAAGAAACACCTTTTATGCCTACTGCAAACAAAATATGTGTGTATGTATGATGTGCTGTCAAGTTGCATCTGACTTATAGTGACCTTAACAGGGTTTGCAAGGTAAGTGAAGCATTTAAGCAGTGGTTTTACCAGTTCAGCTATTCAAATAATGTAACAAATACTGTACAGTAATCCCATTGAAACAATCTTCTAAGACGTTTTCTGATTGGACATCATTATATGTTCCACTTTACTGGTTGCAGTGTCCACTTAGGAGGTCAATTTTAAGTGAATGCTGTGGGATAATAAACTCTAGTATGCACAAACTGCATTTTTCTGTATGACATTTCTGATGTTTCTCATGGCCTTGAGGGTAAATATGCCTGGTACTACCAGCCACATCAGAGAAATTATCATAACTGCAGAATGCAGGACTAGAAAATGTATTTTATTCTAGATCATTAAAATGCTACATAGTGGTGCAAGTGTGAGCTTTCAAGTATCTCAAACATCTTCCCCAGGCAGGCAGAAGAGTGGAAGATAGTAAAGTTACTAAAATTGTATTCGCAAAGGCTTTCACGGCCGGGATCTAATGGTTGTGGGTTTTTCGGGCTTCTTGGCCGTGTTCTGAAGGTGGTTTTTCCTAACGTTTCACCAGTCTCTGTGGCCGGCATCTTCAGAGGACAGAACAGTTTGCTGTCCTCTGAAGATGCTGGCCACAGAGACTGGTGAAACGTTAGGAAAAACCACCTTCAGAACACGGCCAAAAAGCCCGAAAAACCCACAACAACCATTACTAAAACTGGCTTGGTGTGTGAGCCATTGGGTATCTATAGCCGTGAGATGTAGGTTGTGGACTCAGTGATGATAATAGGCGCTAACTGTTAACAAATTGTTACAGGATTAAATCTGTCATCTCACAACTCACACTTGTCTACAGTGATCAGAAGCAATCGTAGGTGATGATTGATGTTAATGTTACATAATCACAACACCATACAGATATTTTAGCCCTTAAATAATGACTATTTCAGTTCAAATGCTCTTCAAGACATCAGTGTTTGTACTGAGTACTCAAAGGTGTATAAAGGGAAATGCAAGTAGACACCTCAAGGGAGAAAGGAATAACAAGGAGAAAAGATAAAAAGGTGATGTTATTATGGTTGTTGTTTTTTGAGGAGGGGTGGAAAGGACGACTTCTTTGCTTTCTTTCCCTCTTAGTGTTTTGTGTGTTGTATGGGTGGACAGTGCTTAGGGACAGGCTGCAAGCTGAGCAGATAACTTCCCCTATCCATGCGTTGTACTTATCTCAACAGCCCTTATGGGGGTGGGAACTAGTGTCACTCCAGCCAAGACTGAAGGGAATTCCCTTGGGACTGAAGGCCAGTAGCCTAGGGTTTTCTGCTTCCAGACATTGTCTGGACACAAAGCCTATTTGCTGAGAACAAGCAGAGGACAAAACTACCTATCTTGATAGACTTGTGCCTACAGTATATTGCTGTACTTAACAAAAAAACTGTGTACCTGTTCTCTGTCACTGTCAGAGCTTGTAATGCAAACATTTGTTCATATTACCTGATGTGCCAGGTGGTTTTTATAAGAACATCAAAAGTAGAATGAACAATTCACATTTAACTAACACCCTCCAATCCTAATCAAGAATAATCATTGCTTCTCCAATGGCCAAAATACTCCTGTGCACCCCATTGCAATTCTCCATATAATTTTCACCACTGCTCCCAAGATGAAGACAGTCATTCTAGACCATGGGGAACCTTTTTTTTTTTAACACATCATGCAAAGTCATTAATATCATGATAAGGTGCCAGAAAACAATACTAATAATTATGCACTACGCATTCAATTTTGACTACTGGCAGCCCTTTCCAGTGTTTTCTAACATTCAAAAGCGCTGACCGTTCTCTTCTTCTGGGGACATGCAACTTGCTCAAGGCTACACAGCTTGGTGGGTCTTCACTCAGGAGGCACAGTGGAAAATGGAACTCTTGACCCCTGATTCTGCATCAAGGTGCTTCATTTCACCAAACTTATCCAACCAGCTTGTCAGAAGATGTTTATCAGAGATCTCTCCCAAGTACTTGTTCATTTGTTACAACAACTTTTATTTAAAAAATTTCTCTCTGTTTTTAGTTGATGATGCTCCATTTCTAAAGTCATGATGCCTCTTGATTCTGCATTAGAACCATGCATTTATCTCATTTTAGATAAGCTTCTAAGGACTGGACCAGACAAGCCTGTTGTTTGGTCAACTGAGAAAGAATACAGATTTCTGTGTCTGTCTGATACCTCAGACTTGTAGCACTGTCAGGTTTGTAGGCCTAGAGGAGGAGAAAGAAAGAGGTGTTTGCCTTGATAATGTGACTGGTCAAGAGTGTCGTAGTATAGGATGCCAAGGAACAAGCTGTGTTACACAAAAGGGAATGAGGAGGAAATATATAAATGATGGCCGCATACTATTATGCAGCTTTGCTAAATCCTCACACAAAAAAACACCACCATGTGGATTCCTATGATTCCTTCAGAAGGAATCATAGGAATCCACACACAAGGGATGTGTGTGGTCCTGTCACTCCATGTCCAATTGGTGCCCTTTTGGAGACACCCTAACCATTTCTTTGTCCAGATCTGTGCCAGTATTTGTGCCTTTCTGATTGTCTCGGAAAACCCCATTTGCCTCAATGGGAAAATGCAAACAGCAAGGTCAGGTTGTGGACTGGGTAGTTCAGGCTGAACTGAAGGGTTGTCTATTTCATTTTTCACCTCCCACCCTTTTCCAACCACCCAGAGAAAGCCCCCATTAGCCAATGGGGGCAATAGGGAGAGAAGGACTTTAAAAGGGCAATGGACACGCTTTTCTTTCGTTCCCTCTGAACAGGAAGGAAGGAAGGGAG